CCCCTCAGTTTTTCTAATATACCTGCTAAAATTTCATCCAATGAAAATCCTCTAAAATGTAGCTGTATTATTCTGCTGGGAGTGTGGCAACTCAAGCAGCAGTCATGACATTAAAATTGCTGTTGGTGTTTTATCTTCCTTGCATCACTTACCCCAAACAGGCCTGATAGCTACTTGCCTGGAGCTAGGTCAGGGCAGAGAAGCCTTCTGAGCTGGCTCACTGAGGATGCTGCAAGCCCAGTTCCGACCTTTCTTCTCCAGCAGTAAGTGGGCTTCCTCTGTGCCATTTCCACACTTGTAAATATTTCAGATAGTAGGATCCCACAGGAGCAGAAAAAAATCTGACTCTTGCTTCTTCTTTCTTCTCACATCTTTTCCTCCTCAGAGTGGGGGTGGGAAGCTGGGGGAAGGCCTGGTTAGGCTTTGATTCTGAGAAAGGCCAGTGAGGCTTTAAAAACTTGGTACTTTTCAATAAACAATCAGATATTCCTTTCAGAAAGTTTCCTCTTAACATCGTTCATGACAATGCCAACGTTAATGATAAAAATAAAAACTATTTATTGGTTGGTGCTATAGGTCAGGGATTTCTAGATTTTCAAATTTTATGAACCTAAAAATTAATCAACAATAGAAAAAACTGGGAAAGTGATATAAAACTGCCAACTTTTCATTTCCTATGAAAGGTAATTTGAATACATAAGTACTATCTTTTATCACCGCTGTATAAAGAAAAGACAATTTGATACCAAAATTGTAGGAAGAACCCCTGAATAAGATGTAGTTTCTTGGGGCTTCCCTAGTGGCACAGTGGTTGAGAATCTGCCTGCTAATGCAGGGGACATGGGTTCGAGCCCTGGTCTGGGAGGATCCCACATGCCGCGGAGCAGCTAGGCCCATGAGCCACAACTACTGAGTCTGCGCGTCTGGAGCCTGTGCTCCACAAGAGAGGCTGCGATAGTGAGAGGTCCACGCACCGCGATGAAGAGTGGCCCCCGCTTGCCACAGTCAACTAGAGAAAGCCCTCGCACAGAAACGAAGACGCAACACAGCAAAAATTAATTAATTAATTAATAAACTCCTACCCCCAACATCAAAAATAAATAAAAGATGTAGTTTCTTATTAAATTGAATAAATTTGGCTAAACAAAATTCTCACTGCTTTTTATTTTTGTTTTTGTTTTTGCCAGCCTAATAATATCATCACCCACTAACCCCAACTGATACGTATCCAAGATATAAGCATGTACACAACGAGGAAAGAGATGATACGCTGTCTCTTTAATTAGTGCTAAGTTTTCCATTATTCTTTTTATATTTAACATTGTATCAGTGCTTTAGGGCCTAGAAAGAATTTGACTAGATGGTTGCTTCTCAGAAACAGAGACCATTAGAATTTCAGTGATCTTCCAAAATCTACCTGTTTTAAGGCCTTCATTTTGTAAGTAAAAAAATCAAGGACCAGCAGGGCCCAATTTCTAAATACCACACAACTTCCCTCAATGAAAGGTGTTAGCCTCCATCTGTCTATAGCAATATGGTCACCTTTCAAATTTATAGTCAACATTTGTCTAATAAGCATCAGATATGTCTACATGTTATTTCAGTTACGCTTATAGATTGGTTAACCTTTTTGGTAGAAGTTAGCAATCCCGTTACATAGATAAGGAAAATAAAATCAATATGTAATTAACCCAAGTTCATACTGCGAGGAAGTGGTAGGGTTGCCATTTGGTGAGATCTTCTCCAAGTTAAATGTCTGTTATTCCTTACCATATAATTAGAAGGTATTAAGTGGCTCTATAGGCCCAGCACTCTGATTAGTGCTATAGCATTTGCCAGCTAGGTTGAGAATCTTAGGGCTGTCATGAGAAGAAAAAGGGGTGCCTTGAGCTTCAGTTGCTCTCTTCTATTTATTAGGAGAAGAGAGAGTGAAAAAATCTATTTTAGTAAGAGTAATCCAGTGTGGCACATGTCTAGGAATATAGGGCAAGTCAGATAGATGCCCCTCCAGACCCCAGTACATTGGCTCAATACCTCTTGATTCCAGGCCATGATGGCTCCCTCCCCCCAAATTTTTATCATTTCCTGGTTAATTCTTCTGGTACTACCTGATGATATCTCTGTATTGTTAAATGAAATAATGATTTACTTTATGTCACTATATACATTTTCATATGCTTAAATGAAGTGCCCTACTCTCCTCATCCTAGTGCCAGCCCGGTGCTGAAATCTCATTTCCCCTTGAGGACAAAGAACAAGAATCACATTTTAGGCATTCTGGCGCGCAGCGAGCGGGTCTGGCGCTGAGCGGGGGTGGAGCTCGGTTCCCCCCACACACACCCCTCCCACTCAGGCGCGAGCCCCACCCCTCCGCCGGCCAGGCCCACCCCGACCGAACTATCCCTTGCGGCGCGAGCCCGGGGCGGCTGCGGGCATCCCCCCAGCACAACCCCCGCCATGGGCAGCCAGAGCTCCAAGTCTCCCCGGGCGACGTGAACGCGGAGGAGGCAGCAGGCGCTTCCCCCGCTAAGATCAACGGACAGGAGAACGACCACGTGAAAAGCATTGCAGACTTATCCCCCAAAGGTGAAGAGAGTCGCCGCCCCCCCCCCCCCCCCCCACCACCGTGAACGGAACAGAGGAGGCAGCCGGGGCCACTGGCGATGTCATCGAGCCGGCACTCCCTACCCAGGGCGCTGAGGGCAAAGGGGAGGTCTCCCCCAAGGAGACCCCCAAGAAGAAGAAGAAATTCTCTTTCAAGAAGGCTTCCAAATTGAGTGGGCTGTCCTTCAGGAGAAATCGGAAGGGGGGTTGGGGGATCCGTCTGCTTCCTCACCCACAGGAAGGGCAGGAGCAGGGTGGGTCGGTGCCTGCAGTGAGGAAGGCACTGCCCAGGAAGGGAAGGCATGCGCCACCCCTGAGAGCCAGGAGCCCCAGGCCACAGGGGCAGAGGCTGGTGCTGCCTCCAAGGGAGGAGACACAGAAGAGGCAGGGCCCCAGGCGCAGAGCCATCCACCGCTCTGGGTGGAGAGGGGCCCTACACCAGCTGGTGGGCAGAATGAGTAGCTGGGTGGGGGCAGGTGGGTGATCTTAAGCTGCAAAAACTGTGCTGTCCTTGTGAGGTCACTGCCTGGACCTGGTGCCCTGGCTGCCTTCCTGCGCCCAGAAAGGAAGGGGCTGTTGCCCCCTAGCCACGTTTCCTCTCATCCTCTTCCTCCTGTGGATTCTCCACTCATCCATCTGGTTTTCCTCTTAAGGCCAGTTGAAGATGGTCCCTTACAGTTTCCCAAGTTAGGTTAGTGATGGGAAATGCTCCTGCCCCTGTCCCTTCCTCCTTCCCTGTCCCCACCTGTGCAGAAGGCAATTGCTGGTTTTCTTCCCCAATTCTTTTCCAAGTAGGTTTTGTTTACTCCCCAAATCCCTGAGCCAGATCTGGGGGTGCCTACACTCCCAAACCCTGAGTGTCCAGCCTTCCCCTGTTGAGTTTTTAGTATCTTGTGCTGTGCCTAGTGGCCCCTGGGCTAGGGAGGACACTGCCCCCGTTTAGGTTTTTATAAATGTCTTACTAGAGTTCAAACCTCCAGCTTGTGAATCAACTGTGTCTCTTTTTTGAGTTGGTAAGCAAGTATTAAGCTTTGGGGTGGGGGAGAGGTATGTAATGTGAAACAACTTCTTGTTGTTTTTTTCCCCTCCCATTGTTGTAAATAACTTTTAATGGCCAAACCCCAGATTTGTAATTTTTTTTTCTAACTGCTAAAACCATTCTCTTCCACCTGGTTTTACTGTAACCCTTGGAAAAGGAATAAATGTCTCTTTAAAAAAAAAAAAAGAATCATATTTTGTTTGTTTGTTTTCTTGAATCATATTTTGAATGGCACAGTACTTTAATGTAGAGGCCCAGAAATTATTTATTAATTGCTTCTGTTTTGGTTGAAAGTACCAGGAGTAGGCAAATTGTGTAATAGATAATGTTTGTCTCTGGCTGTATTATCTCTTCTTTCCATACTTTTTCTCCTCTTTTGTGTTACTCTCTTCTACACCTACACCCCCCAGCCCAAAAGAAATTAGCCCCTTAATACTTCCTACTAGATAAAATTATGTAGCCCTTTCCAGAAAATTTGTCTTCCCTCTGATTAAAACTCACATTCCTTCTGTGCCCAGATCTCAGCTACATGTCACCTGTCCCAGAAGTTCAGCTGATAAGCCAATTAGCACTAAAGTATGATGACTACAAGAAGTAGTTCATTAATCTGTTAATAGAAGCACTAGATTATAACTGGGGATATTTGGAGACACAAAATTTGAACCTATTCACTCAACTTTTAATTAATATTTGAGTACACATTACGGTTCTCAAATTTTTCACCATTAAGTAAAGCTTTTTAATTCATTAGACTCCACAGTCCTTATGTTTTGATATATTTTGTTTAGCAAACAAAATTTATTTTAAGCAATATTTGGTTTCCTGTTTTATTACACATACATATCTGTTAATCAAAGCTTCCGGTCATCATGAAGTAACCAGGATATAATCTTACTGAACTGGTAGAATCCTAGCCAACAGCCGAGAAACTCATCTCTTTAAACAGTCTGTGCAGTCTTATCATTGTAAATGGATCACTTTCTTTGACATTTTAGAATACTGACTGTAAAACACATGGATTCTCCAATATTATCATCACATCCCTGGTGGTCCAGCAAACCCAAGTTTAAAATCACTGGTGGAACACTCACTGTACACTGAGCTTGGTGCTAAGTGCTCAAAATATGAAACTAAATAAGCCAAGGGCCCTGCATTGATATTCTCAGGGTCTACTTTCCATTGTGGATAACTCTGGCTTTTGCGTGCACAACACCTGCCTGGATTTCTAACTTACCCCATTTTTACTCTGCTTATTTCTTAACCACCTAGGGCTCTCCTCAGGACAGAGCACTTAACACTTTTATCTTTTGTTATCTTAAGCACTATGCATAATTCAGGTACTTTTTGCATAGGAGGCAGTCTAGTAGCTGCTTCCAGGGAGAAACTAAACCAGAAGGCAGCAGAATGTGAGGTTAAGATCACTCACCTGAAGTGGACACTTCTCTGGATTTGAATCCCAGCTCTTCCACTTTTGAGCTAACGGAATTAGGGCAAGTTTCTAACCCTCTTTATGCCTCCGTTTTCTTATCTGAAAGACAGAAATAATAAGAGTACTTACCTCTTATTTTTTATGAGGATTAAATGATACAATGTATGTACAGCATTTATCACAATATTAGCACATAGGAAGTGCCTAATGGATTCCATCTATTATCATTATTAATACTACTATTACTAAAGGGGAAAAGAAGAGAAATAGAAATGTTAGGATACTGAGGCTTTAAAAAAGGGATGCATTCTTAATGGATCTTTAGCCAGAGAAGTATCAGGTTTGAGGAGATCATTGTTTTGAGAGTTAAACAAAGGACAGGTGAAGGAAGATGCGAAAGAAGAGGAGAGACAAAGAGCAAGGAAAGTGAAGTAACAGGGCAGAAAAGGTTAAATCGTAGACCATGGAACTTGGTGTCTCTCTTTTCCAGGTAATTTTGGGTGCCTATGTCTATAATTTTAACGATCATAATATACTTAAAATGGAATAAAAATAGACATTGCTTGTTTTAGAGAAAGTGTTCAGAAATTATAGATTATGTCGAGAGATTTTCCTCGTACATAGTTCTAATGAAAATAAGACTAATAATGAATCTAAATCAGGCCGAGACTTCCAATTTTTGACTCTTGAAGTTATGTCAATAAACTCCAGCATTGGATTAGTGAGAAATCAAAATTCATTCTGTAATCTTGGAATTTGAAAGCTGTATTAGTCTCCTGTTTCTGCTGTAACAAATTACCACGAACCTAATGACTTCAAACAACATGAATTTATTACCCTACAGTTTTGGAGGTCAGAAGTCTAGAATGGGTCTCACTGTGTTAAAATCAAGGTATGGGCAGGGCCCAGAGGAAAGTCCATTTTCTTGCCTTTTCCCTCTTCTAGAGACTGTATGCATTCCTTGGATCATGGTCCCCTTCCATCTTCAAAGATAATAATGGTGGTCAAGTCTTTCCCTCAGTGCATTCCTCTGACACTGACTCTTCTGCCTCTCTCTTCATATTTCTGTATTTTCTTGTGATTACATAGGACCCACCTGATTAATTGAGGATAGCCTCTCCCTAGATCCAGGTCATCTGATAGGCAACCATAATCCCATCTGCAACCTTAATTCCCTTTTGCCATGTAACTTAATATATTTAGGGGACCCAGGGATTTGGATATGGTAAATTTTTTTTTTTTTTTTTTGTGGTACGCAGGCCTCTCACTGTTGTGGCCTCTCCCGTTGCAGAGCACAGGCTCCGGACGCGCAGGCTCAGCGGCCATGGCTCACGGGCCCAGCCGCTCCACGGCATGTGGGATCTTCCCGGACCGGGGCACGAACCCGTGTCCCCTGCATTGGCAGGCGGACTCTCAACCACTGCGCCACCAGGGAAGCCCGGATATGGTAATTTTTGAAGTGTCCTATTCTGCCTACCACAAGAGTGTACTGACTGCATTCTGCTTTAGCTTTTCATGCTTAAAGAAATTAAATAGAATAGATCCAAAGTTTAATATATATGGGTAATTAATACCATTAATGGAGGTTACTTCTGAAGTCCAATTAGAAAGAAGTTCTCCTCACTTACTAACAATTTGGGAAAACTGATTAACCTTTCTGTGCAACAACCCTCTCATTTTAAATGAGAATCATAATATCTACCTCATATTGTTGTTGTGAGAATTAAATGAGTTAATTAATGTAAAGAATTTAGGCTGACATAAAATGAGCAGTCCCTAAATTTAGTTGTTGTTATTATTATTAGCCAGCTTTATGATCTATTGAATCTCTTAAATGTATGTGTGGTTTTATACATTCGTCAGTCATTATCAATTCATCCATGAATCTAGTCTGTCCATTGATCCACCAGCATTTATTAAACATCTATTGTGAAATGAGCAGCATACCACACATAATAGAAATAACAAAAATACCTTACAATTACATAGCACTTTACATTTTCACCTTTTTATCTTATCTGACCCTACTTAGAAGTTCCTGCCCTTAGAAGTTGTAGTCTCCTTGAGAAAACAACAGATTACTTACAAATTTAGCCAAACACCCTAGACATAGTATTGAAGCTTTGCAACATTGGGAATGGGCACTCACTCAGGCCTGAGATTCATTAAGAGTAAGTCTATGGATTAGTGAGCACCACACGGGGGAATGACAATGTCCACCATCTCAGTCTAGATTGGGCTCTTCTCTCACACAGGGCCGTGAAGTCTAGACTCATCAGGTTAATGAGGTCCTAACAGTTCAAAAGAAAGAGAACAACAAAAAAGTAGGCAAAGAAGAAAACCATCTACGGTGTGGTGGCTGTAATACCTCCATGAGTTCCTCCACTAAACAGTTAAATCTACACTACAAATTTCCAGTTTTATTCTTCTTCCAAATAAGGAGGGGTGGAAAACCCAAGACAAAATTATTTGCACAAAATTTCTCAGGTTGTGACCTGAGAAAATTTTATAGGGCAAGCACTGTGTCTCTTTCCCCAGAGTTGGTTTTTGATGTATCCACTTGCTGTTTCGTAGGTTGATCGTTGATTCTGACAGTCACTTTGTACTATAGAGTATAGGGTAGGGGGAGTTTGAGTAGCATTCTCCAAGGTAAAGAAAAGACCAATAAAAAATAGGTGGAATGGGAAACCCTCAAAAGAAACAGTAAATGAGGGCACAAGGTTAGCATTGCAGTTTGAGCGTTCCATTCCTTCCACTAACCTCTTGAGTCTGGCTGCCCAGCGGGAGCTTTGCTCCCAGGTGGATTTCTGGGACGAGAAGGCCACCATTTGCTCGCTTTACCCTGGGGCCACCCAGCTGCCAAGTGTCAGCTGAACAGAGGTGCATCAGAGGCCTGCAGTCAAAAGGCAGCAGGATGGCTAATTGCCATGAATTTCTGAAGCAAGTCTGGCATCTTGGCATCTTGCTGCTCTCCCCCTCCCCCAGGTTAATTGCTGAGAACCTCCGACTTGAAAGCTGCTTATCCTACCAACTTCAGCTGCTGCCCTCCTTTCCCTATGCCACTTCAATTCCTACCTCCTAACACTCTGGAAGTGAAATGAAGTCTCTCATACACCTGGCTCTACTCATCAGACCACCTAAGCTCTAATGTAAATACTTCTTTCCCCCTTTACACACCCTTATGGGTAAACGCAGAATTGCCACATCCCCCTTGGACCTGATTGCTAGGCAACACTCAGCCATGTGAATTTGTCACTTCTGTTTGGCGCAAGTTTCAATTTCACCTCCAACTGTAACACTGCTCGATATATTTTAGATGCCACTGTGGTTGGACGGCATCCCAGGAAAGATGTGAAGTGCTACTGCCAGGAATGAATGATTGGCATTGGGTAAAGCAATTCTCTGAACTCAGCCTTGGCATACCATTAATTGTTAAGTCTGTTCAGCTACCACCAACCTCTTGTCAGAATCATGTCTATTGTAAGTCTTTGCAGCAAGAGTCCAAATGGTAGAGCTCTCTCCCTCTGTAAGATCTGAAGAATTATGTCAATAATGAAAGCAGTGGATTTCTCAGCTCACAACATATTACTTCTTCCTACTTTCATCTATTGGCTGCACTTTCATGTGCAAAGAAAAATAGTTCCACGTTTGAATATTACTGAGCTAAGAGCTGCCAATTCAGGTTCTAGCCCTGAATAAAAGATTTACCTTCCCTTCATTTCTTCATCACAATCTGCTTTCATTCATGGTAACAATTAAATGCTGCTACAAGGAAACATGTTATTAACGGAAAAAGATAAAATTAATACTAAACATACTCTGGTGACAATAAATATATAATATTTGACATGTAAAATTTACATACTGACATTGTCAGAAAACATCCAACACAAAAACAATTATAATTTTTGAATAAACGCATACCATCACTGGCAAGATATAATGCTATAATTCCCAAAGCCTCCATCTAATGTGGGCTACCCATTGTTTATATATATATATATATATATATAATATTATTTGTCCTTAATGACACATTCAATTGCCTAGCCACCTACATCGAATATGCTTAAATACTACACAATTTCTCTATTGACTCTAAGATGCTACAGTGTGGAATGCTTTCATTTCTGTGCACTGTGCTAATTAATGATAAAAATAGTAAATCTGTTTTGATTCCCCTTCCGTCCCTCCAGCCACCAACTTTTTAGTCAATTGATTATTTTTTTTTCTCAAATCTAAACATCCTCAGAAAGCTTGGAAATATTTCCCTGGAATGAGTCTAATTAAATAGAAGAAGTCAGTCAGCTATGAGTAAGAATAGTGTTTCAGACTTCACATGTATTCCCTGATTCACTGGAAACAAAAGGAGTTTCTGTAACAGTGTGAATGAACCATGAAGTGTGCATGTTCTTTTAAGAAAGGCCAAGGGTGCAGTTCTATTTTCTTAGCTCTGCTTTCATATTTATGTGTCTCATTTCCAGCTCATTGCTGATGCCTCAGTTGCGCTATCCATCACCACTTTTATCCTCCTTGTTCCTCAAAAAGAACATAAAATCCTTTTTTTATGTGGTGGTAATATTATTGCAAATAAAAGCAAATACCAAAATCTTTATTAGTCTGCCAAAATAATAAACTATTTAATAAAAGCATGCTGTAAAAATAAGGTCATTTGCATCACTCAAGTTACTTGTAGGAAATACAGAGAATTATTGGTCAAAAAAGCACAAACTGACAGCAATTATTTCTGTTGTTCATCTGACACACCATGCAATAGGGTTAAAATTTTGTTTATATTTTGCATATTTTCTGGGTTCAAATGCCTTTAATATTACTTAAAACTGATTGCTCATTGGAAAATGAAAAAAAAAAGATCCAATTCTCACAAAATACTGATTTCCTCTTTGTAAAAAAGACTTTTGGTAAGGGAGAAGGACTAAGTAGACTGTTCTCTTTTTGATGCCTTTTTCACAAATGTGGAAGTTGACCTACTGATAACCTTGATATTGTAAGATTTATTGCCTAAATATTTACCATTTTAATATACAATATTAATTTCATTTGCTTTGGATTTGTGTCCATGCTTCAGCTGTATAATT